TAAACCTTGTTCTATTTGAAGGACAGCCTCCTGGTCTATGTACTGGTTCCTGATGAGCACAATCAAGTGTTCTGGAATTCCCATTTTTCTCAATGTTATCCATAATTTGTTATGATTCACATAATTGAATGCTTTTGCATAGTCCATAAAACAAAGTAAACATCTTTCTGGTATTTTGTGCTTTGAGCCAAGATCCATCTGACATCAGCAATGATATACCTCATTCCATGTCCTCTTCTGAATCCAAGTTGCATTTCTGGAAGTTCTCTGTAAATATAGTGGTGCAACCATTTTCAAATTATCTTCAGTAAGATTTTACTTGTGTACAATATTAATGATATTGTTTGATAATTTCCACATTCTGTGGGATCACCTTTCTTTGGAATGGGTACAAATATGGATCTCTTCCAGTCAATTGGCCAGGTAGCTGTCTTCCAACATTCTTGGCATCACCTAGTGAGTGCCTCCAGCATCTGTTTGTTGAAACATCTCAGTGGGTGTTTCATCAGTTCCTGGAGCCTTGTTCTTTGCTAATTCCTTCAGTGCAGTTTCGACCTCTTGTTTCAGTACCACTGGTTCTTGATCATATGCTACCTCCTGAAATGGATGAACATCAACCAGTTCATTTTGGTCCAGTGACTCTGTGTATTCCTTCCATCTTCTTTTGATATTTCCTGCATCATTCAATATTTTGCTCATAGAATCTTTCAATATTGCAACTCAAAACTTGAATTTTTCTTCAGTTCTTTCAGTTTGAGAAGTGCCAAGCGTGTATTCTCTTTTGGTTTTCTAACTCTACGTCTTTGCACATTTCATTACAGTAATTGACTTTGTTTTCTTGAGCTGCTCTTTGAAATCTTTTGTTCAACTTTTTTGTTTTGTTGTTTCTTCCATTTGCTTTACTACTCTCCACTCAAGGGCAAATTTCAGAGTCTCTTCTGACATCCATTTTGGTCTTTTCTTCCTTTCCTGTCTTTTTAATGACCTTTTGCTTTCTTCATGGATGATGTTCTTGATGTC